TTGAGGTTTGTGCCTATATGCTTTCGTGCTTGTGAAACCAGTTGATATGCAATCTCTATGTTTACAAACCTAGTAAGCATGATATTATTTTTGTATTCACTGTACATATTTAAGTCGTAATTATCTGTAAAGTTTTATCACCATGCCCTCTTTTGTTTGTATTAGGCTACTAACGACGCTTTGCTAATATTTCCTGGAGTGGTACACTCTGAACGGCACGAACAGATTTCATGGGCCGAGTCTCAATTTGTTATTGATGAATACGGAGGTTTGTTGTCTTGTTGATGGATCAATATTTTGTTTATGAGATATGAATTATCATTTATATTAGGGAATTCATGATTCAGTATCAACATTGAGAATTTTAACCTAAACTTTTTCTTTTTTTTTTTTCTCTCTAGAGATATATTTTAGAATATTTGATGACGAAAACCTTTTGGCAGATCGTGGGGCATATAATCCGGTGGTAAGAATTTTGTGGCCTTTGCCCCAGGGTTTTGGCTAGCTTTGCTTCAGAAATTTTTTCTCTCACCATATAATAGTTGCTTTAAAAAATATATTCATATTTTTTCTCTATAAATTGAAAATTAGTGCAAGTTGCAAACAGAAAACATTTTAAGCACCTCCAAATTTTCTATGAAGTAGTCCAGTGATGTGTCTATCAATCTTTGTGTATAGAACTTCAGGCTGTCAGTTCTAGTCCTCTAACTTTTCCATGCATATGTTTTCTCTTGATGCTTCTTAAAATTTGAGTTTGGGCCTATCTCAACTCCAAAAGCTAGCTCACTGGTGAGGGTTTCCCCTCACTTAAGACAATCTTTCACGTCATACCACTATCAAATGAAGAACTCTCAACCCTCCCTTGTCCCTTCCCTCCCCAGGAATGGATGTGTGGGATTTATAAAACTACATATCTACGAGTTGCCAAATAGATTTAGGGCAAACTCTGATCAAGCACATATGGTGAGGTTTTATAACCATTGTTCAGGTCATTTTTCTATCCAATGCGAGACTCTTACCCATCATTTAATTTTAGGCTGGTGTAATATGTACTCTCCCTGTTAAGTTGAACACCTTCACTCATAATTATAGGCCTCAGTCATAAAAAAGATACCTACATATCAAATTATACGAAGTTATTTATATTAATTATTAATTCAGATCGAGAAACTATGTACTGTGTTTGTGAAATGGCTAGCTAAAAGAGCTAAAAAAAATTGTAGTTAAGAGGTAAATTCAAGTGCTCACCTCATGGTATTTATTTGTTCTGTCTTTGTGTTTCACATTTATGAAATTTATATTCAAGGTTTGTGTTTCTTCAGAATGCTTTATTTGGAATGGACATCCCAATGTATGATAATACAAGGATAATTAATGAATATGACATTTTCTATGGTGGCATCACTGATCCATTCCTGATTGATGATGATTTTATTAAGGTTTGCAGCTTCGAATGCTTAGTTTTTAGAATTTAGGGATTTTTTTTCTACTATACATTGCAGAAATTCAAATCACTAAAACATTCTTCTGCAATCAGGTTCCGGAAATTGAAGAGTTTAATGCTCTAGTAAATCCAATTTACTTTTCGAAGTGCTTGGAAAAGGTTCCTCCCCTTTTTATGACTAGAACTGATAACTAATAGTTTCAAGTGTTTTAACTGAGAATGATTTAACAAATCAATAAGCTCTGGGAGAAATAATATTGATTCAAATGAATTTTCTTCTAGGCTGTCAACAGGGAATGTGAAAAGAGAATGAGTCATCCTTCGAATGGTGTTTCCATTCTAGGGAACCTTATACATGCTTATGCTGATGAAGAGTTTTACAAAAGAATGAGCGGTCTTGGATATATGCCAGATTTGGAAGGTATCTGATTTCATCAAGATTGACATCTAGAATTTAAAGATTTTATTGCATACGGACATTTTTTAGTTAACAAAAGTTGTTTTCTTACTTATTCTTGATGCTAGTTTTTGACATAAAAAAATGTTGGCGTAGGTTTTTTCCCAAATCGTATTAATGATGAAAGAAAGACCAAGTTTATGTTCTATAAGTTGGAGATCGAACAAATCATGCTACACTGTGTGTATGGATCTCAGGCATGTATCTCAAAACTCCCTTTACGAGTTGAATGGTATTTTTTCTATAAATTGAAGCATTATTTAGAAACCAGTGATGTTATACTGATCTTGATCTATGCTGAGTTCCAAATCATGCATGTTCTACCTTTCCAAAAATTGCAGTCTGAAATTAGCTTACTAGAGTTTCAAGATGCTGAACCTGATATTCTTGTATTCACTTCTTCGGAACTTCTCAAACGTTTCAACCGAAACTATCATGATGCTCTTCAAGCATTTTGCAAAAAGAAAGGTCTTGATGCTGAGGTAATCCAAAATTTAGATATTTGAGTTTTTAAAGTTTTTCTTTTGTGGTTGGTGTATTTTGTTTCAAAATTAATATGTTATGCTAAGATGGTGAAACATACAATGCTCAAGATACTTGCTAATTTAGATACGTTTTTAACTTTCACTGTTTAATGTACTATCATGAATGGCTTCCAGGAAGCACACTTGATTGGACTTGATAGCCTAGGTGTGGATGTCAGAGTTTTCTCTGGGAAAGAAGTAAAAACTCATCGCTTTTCGTTCAAAGTCCAGGTAAGCATCTTGGGCTAATGAAAGTACAAACTTTTAGATTGATGCAGTGTCACGGTTTCTCGCCTGAACATCCTGCTGAACATGTTCTTTGTTATCAAGTATTCTAGCTCTTCTTGATTTCTTAAGAAAAATATGAGAATTGATTGTATAAGAACCTTACGTGATCTATGTTATCGTGTGTTCAATGTGGAAACATAACATGATTCTAGTATATTAAAAAATCTGATTTAGAACAAAAGAAATTATATTTGCATAATAGCCCTGAGAAGCAGATTTTGCAAGTTCAAATTCAATTTTTTTGCATTTGCAGGCCAAGTCAGGAGATATGGTTGAAAAGCAGATTGAGAAACTTTTGTATACCTCATCACGGCGAAAAAAGAATATGCAGAAACCACGGCGGAGTATTAAAAAACCAACATGAATTGAGTATACCTATACAACTTTTTTATTTATACTTAAAAGTTTTGGCAAAGGAGAGGTAAGGGCATTGCCACTCTACCGAAAAAGACCAGAGGTCGAGAGAATTAAGCTTGAGCTTCACCATGGTCATGGTGGTTACCCTTTTTTCCGTTACTTTCTCATAGATCTGGCATGTCAAATTGTTAACTTTTGACAATAATAAATGGTGAAGGTGTTAATAGATAGAACAGTTTTAATGGCTTTACTATAGTCCTGATTATCATGGCCTGAGAAAATTTTCAACTCAGGTTGTAAATGTTTTCTCAGCATTATTTTATGAATAATCCATTATGATAGAAGCATATTGATATTGACAATTTCTGTTGCGTTAGTACAAATGGAGCAAGGATGTGAGATTTCTATGTCACCGGCTCATTTCATTACTAAAATAAAAGTACTGAGTTCAAAGGACCTAAAAAGTATGGATACTATAAGACACCTACTACGAGTCAAAGATTGATTAGTAAAATTATTGAAATAACAAAAGTACATTTAAAGGGATATACTTATATTATGTTGTTTCTTTAAGTCGTACGTAGCCATGTGACTTGTCAAAAAAATCCTTATCCTAAAACAAGAATAGTAGTCCTTACCTCTAGCCAGCTCAAATTTTATTTTTCAAGTAGCCAGCTCAAATTTTAATAATATTGAATTATTCTATTTTGATCACATGTCAAATAAAAAAGTTAAATTTATATGTTATTGATATTTCAAAATACAAAGAATGAATTTCATTTTTTTTTAAATAGTCTAGTGGTTGAAATTCACTTTTTAAAGGTGTATATTTCAAATGTTACGAGTTCGAATCCATATTCTTATATCAAATGCATTTCAGATCTATCAACTTATCGAACAACATATTAAATAGTAATACATAAATATTTTTTTTACTAAATAAATTAATTCATAAATAACTCATTTGATATAACAATTAAACTAAAGTTTTAAACAAAATTAATCAACATATCATAGAAATTTTGAAACTTGAAGTTAGGAAAAATAGTAACATAATTTTATAAGTATGAATTGTTAGAACAATAATATTTTTTCAAAATCAATTATGAAAATACGTGAATAATAAACTTTTAAAATTGTTATCATGATAATAAATATGACTAATAGAAAACTTTTAAAATTGTTATCATGATAATAAATTTGACTAATAGAAAACTTAAATTATGAGTAAAAAGTAACCCTCTTACCGTCCAAAAATTTAAAGATAATGCAAAAACGGATTCAATTCAGTCTATTATTTTCTACAAAAATAAAAAAGAAATAAATATAAAAGATAAAAATTACTAAAACTAATTAGAAATAAATGCATTTAGATCTAAAATCTAATATAGATTACTATTTTGTAGAAAATAAAATTGTATTTAACCCTTTTATTATTAAATCAAAGATCATAATAAAAAGATCAATAGTTAATAAAAGATCATAATAAAAAATTATTATAAAAGATCATAAAATCTTAGTGGCGACATCTTAGTCTGTTTGAAAAAATTTTGGAAATTGGTAAATCGGAAACCATTAATGGTTATTCTAAAAAAAATTCACCAAAATCACACAATACATAAAATCATAGTAATAAAAGTGTGAATCTTTTTTTCTTTTTCTTTCTAAAAACTGTTACTCCTTATTAGTGTGGTTTTGCTTTTCAAGTCTTGAACTTTATCTCTCTCTCTCTCTCTTTCTGTATTATATTCTGCAGAAGAAGAACAAAGAAGTGGTGGTTACAGTGGGACATACTTAAGGTACACCCATTATTAAAAAACCCCAAATTTCTAGTCTTTTTCTCCTTGTTCTCATTCTCCATATCCTTGTCTTTTCTCTGCCGTCAGCGTTGATTTTTCTTTTCAAATTTCAAATAAACAGTTACTATCCAATGATGCCGGAGAAGGAGCAATTGGGTCTTGATTCAGAGATGAAGCGCTACAGAAATGGCGAAACCTGGGAATTTGAGGATGACATTGACGATACATCTGTTTCTGTCTCGGATGGTGTTTTGTTGGGGTTGGACGGTGGAACAACATCCACTATTTGCATTTGTATGCAAATGGTTTATTTTTCGCATTCTCAGCTTCAATCTCTTCCTGTCCTTTCAAGGGCTGTTGCTGGTTGCTCTAATCATAATAGTGTTGGAGGTTGTTATTGATTCTCTCTTATTGATTTTGTTGTTTTGGATCAATTTAAAGTTTTGATTTTTGTTTTCTAGGTTTCTTGTTATGTAGCAATACTTATTTGGGGTTTAAGCATTTTCAGTGATTTGGTTGATTACATTGAGAATTTCTTGTTTGGTATAGTGTTGACTTTCTCAAATTTCTCTTTTTTATGGATTGGGTATAGTGGGTGGGGATGATTCAATGTTGTCAAATAGTGGACTATAGCCATGTAGCGGAATTCGAGCAAATAGTTATTGTTTCGCGATATTCTGGTTAGTAACAGAGGTTTGTCAAATAGCGTGTATTATACTTATTGCAGTGTAGTATAGCATAATTTGAACGACACGCGATTTGACAAACCTGTGTGCTAAATAGTGTATCGCGAGCACTTTAGCATAGCATAATTTGAACAACTTGCTACTTTCTGCGATTGTTTGACAGTATTAGGAGGATTTTGAGGATGTTGCTTTTGGCTTAGGCAATTAGAGGATTTTGAGCATAATTTGAACAACATTTGTTTTTTACTGGAGGAATTGATTGTAATGTTAGTTACTACCGTCAATCACTTTTTCTACAGAAATTGCTGCAAGGGAAACATTAGAGCAAGTTATGGCAGATGCTCTTTCAAAGTGTGGTTCAAAACGATCTTCCGTACGAGCTGTTTGTTTGGCTGTTTCTGGTGTTAACCATCCTACGGATCAACAAAGAATTCTCAGTTGGCTTAGGTTGCTCTATATTACTGTATCTTTCTTCTTTTAGATACGAAAAGTATATATTACTAAGGATTTAAATCATTAGTTTAATTGAGACTTGTTTGAGCGTTTTTAGTGGTTGAGTTCTTTTAAGATGTTTTGTTATTTAATAATCTCAATTATTGTTTCTCTGCTACTTTAACAGGGATATATTTCCAAGCAATGTGAGGTTATATGTTCAGAATGATGCTGTTGCTGCACTTGCAAGCGGAACAATGGGTAAACTTCGTGGATGCGTGTTAATTGCTGGCACAGGAACCATTGCATATGGATTTACAGAAGATGGAAAAGAAGCAAGAGCTGCAGGAGCAGGACCTGTCTTAGGTGACTGGGGCAGGTCATCCTCTTGCATTCCCCTCTGTCGAATAGCGACTATAGCAATGTTGTCTAACAGAATTTGAACAAACCCTTATTTTGCGCAATATGCAATTAACAACATTGCCTCTTTTGTTTGTCGTTCAACACGCATTTTCATCCAATGTGAAACTTCCTACTCTCACCTGATACCCTTACCGGAGGGAAGCTCTTTCTTGTGATGTCCGACTTGATTCTATCCATTTTTTCCTGAGAATTTTTCTTCTATATTTGCAGTGGATATGGTATATCTGCACAGGCATTAACTGCGGTAATAAGAGCACATGACGGTCGCGGTCCAAGTACAACGCTGACAACTAGTATTTTACAAACGCTTGGTCTTTCTTCTGCAGAAGAATTGATTGGGTATATATTCATTGTTCATGCCACATATAGCTGTGAAGTAAATACTTAATAACTAGTAGTATTTTGGAATTTTAAAGCCATTTTGTATAATCCTTTGTTTGTCACAATATTTTGTTTGTCTCATTGAAAACCAGGTGGACCTACGCAGATCCATCATGGGCCCGCATTGCAGCGCTTGTTCCAGTTGTAGTATCCTGTGCCGAGGCCGGTGATGAGGTTGCAAATAAGATCTTACTAGAATCTGCACAAGAACTTGCTTCAAGTGTTAAAGCTGTTGTAGGGAGACTTGGATTGTGCGGTCAAGGTTAAATATTATTTTAATTGAACATATTTTAACTCTCAAATTATCAAAGCTTCGCAGAGTTTGTCAAACTTTCAATATACGAAGAAGCTTTTTCTCTTGCACTTTGTGCGTGCCTGATATTCAATAATTTTGGCAGATGGAAAGGATGCTTTTCCTCTTGTCATGGTCGGCGGTGTTCTTGAAGCAAATACACGGTGGGATGTAGGGAAAGAAGTAATGAAATGCATTTCCAAATACTTTCCTGGGGTGGTTCCCATTAGACCTAAGGTCAGCATATATATTTTCGAACATAATCTTACAGATCAATTTGGCACAAAGTCGCGAACCATTTAAGTAGTTTACTTTATTGCAAACAGGTGGAGCCTGCTGTTGGGGCAGCATGGTTAGCTTGGAATTTTTTCATGAAAGAATATAACAAGGAATTATGCAGCAGCTGACAATTTGATGGAGTGGAATAAAAGATAACAAAATTGAAAGAAAAAAAAGGAAGTGAAGAATCCAATTCTTGGCTGTAAAGTGAAATTGATATGCCATATAGCTTATGTACATCCAAAGTTTGTATTTTATTGGTAAATGGCACATTGGTAGGAATCAGTTCCTCCTTCTCCTTGTTAAGCAAGGCACAGTTTCCCCAACTGTTTTTCTTGTGAACTTAGGATCATACTTATGCTTGTGTAAATAATTGCCATCAAATGGTGTAATCATAAGAGAGTTGTGTCACCCACGAACTGATTGCAGCCTCTGACACTCCTTTATAAAAGATCCAGAGGTCCTTCGCGAGCCTTTTCTTCTTCTTCGTAGAGATTTCTCTTGTTAAATCGGAAGAGATGTTTGATGCGTCTGAAAGTAAAGCATAGCATTTTGTCTCGGATTTAAGTTTTTTTGTCAAGGATTTTAAGGTGTTCGAGGTGAAACACAGAAGAGATGTTTCATGCATCTGGAAGTAACACAGAGCGTTTTGTTTCGGAACCTATATCATTCTTAAGTTTTTTTATAACTCACTTAATATCTCTTGATTGGCAAAGGATATGAGAGATGGTCTCTCCCCAAAGTAAATCATTTTATATCTTTTATCTTGATTCAGTTAGAGGTGTACCACTTTGACATCACAACAAAATGGTTTTGCACATAAACCAAATTAAAATAAATTATTAAAAAATAAAAGTAGTATGTTTAATGTATATAATTATGGTGCAGTGTTAAAAAATAGTGTAAGCATATATTTTCCCTTTTAATTATTGTGGTTTTTGTAGATAGTTATTGCTTGAGATTATTTAGCATAGATTGTCATTTTTATTTATCTCACATGACATGAGTTTTGATGTGTTTGAATCATTTCATTTCACAAGTAGTATCCATCATATGACAAGATCTAAGCTTACAAGTGAGTAGATAAAGAGAAGTTTTTTTGAGACAGTAATTTTGAGTTGTAAAAAATGAAAATTTAAGTAATTTTGATTAAAAAAGTGTACAAAAGCATTGAGAGGTAAAACTTTGATGTCATTCATAACACAAGCGGTGAAGACTGAGATGGTGGTGGATAATTTCAAGAGTTTTTGTTTTGTTATGGAACCATAATTGATGAATGGTGGTTGTGATGTGCAAAGATAGACTTGAGCTTCTAATGCGGTGAAGGAGGGATTGACTTACGAGATTAGCATTTCAACGCTCATGCCAGTATGTGAATGAGATGAATGAATAAAATTTGAATTTAAAATTGTGTACCTAAGAATGACGCATTTTCCATTTATATAGAAAGGCAGTTACAACCACTCGTTATCTTTAAGGCATGAAATATGCAAATTTGATGGATGTATCGTGGCGTTGAATCTTATATGTTTTCTCTAGGATAGTACACCTACACTGCATGCGGTTTAGACGAATCATTTCTTTCACCAGACTTACGGTCGATCTAGAATAATTGCTCCCAAGCCCTCGTCCCTACTTGGCAGTGCGAGGGTTTTTGTTGCATTCGATCTTCATACCGACCATATCCAAATGGAATGAGTAACTAAAAGGTGATGTTGATATCTTTGGAAATTTGCCCCATTAATGTACCCTTGCGTCAGAGGTCTTTCCGTAGGTTCCATCATAATGATATTTGAAGTGTGCAAGGTCTTTTCGTAGGTTCCATCATAATGATCTTTGAAGTGTCTTTCTAAGGCAATCTAGATCGTTGATAATGTGTTTACCTTGAAAGAAGATTGCTTTTATCTTGCCAACCTAACCTGTGAGGCTTTTGAGGAAGAGTTACAAATTTGATGTCCTATAATTGGTATGCTTCTTTTGTTTGGCCATTGGCGCCTAACTTGCTTTAATCACTTTGATCGGTCTGCTTTCTTCTTCAACAAAAAATGTTTGAATGCCTTTCACATGTCTTTGACTGTCTTTGCTTGTCTAACGCACCACCACTTCGACTAGCGCGTTAACTCTTGTTTCACCATGAAGTACTTCCATCTACTGCTGCCACCTAGCCCTACTTGCGTCTAGCACCTATAGATGGGACATAGCGAACATTGTTTCTTTAGAGTTTTGTTTTTCCGTTTCTTTTATGTTGATTCGTGTTGCTTCTTTAGAGTTTTGTTTTTACCTCTCTCTTTTATGTTGATTCGTGTTTTTTTTGTTCTTCTCATTTGCTTTTGATAAATACTTGCAGAAAAAATCTAAAACACCTATAGATGGGGCATAGCGAGCATTGCTTCTTCAAAGTTTTGTTTTTTCCTATTTTCTTCATGTTGATTCGTGTTTTTCTAATTCTTTTCATCTGATTTTGATAAATACTTGCAAAACAAATCTAAAATATTTTTTTACTTTTCATAGATAAATTAGAGTTTTGTAAAGATTGTTTGTTGTGGTGATATAGTATTTCACTAGAAATAATAATATCATTCATAATTTTAAGCTGTTGTGATCACTCTTTTTTTTAAAGCTCTCTGTGGTGATCATAGATAATTGAGCAGTAAAATATTCCCTCAAGATACACCTGAAGAATCCCTCAGTTTGTTAATTTAATGTGGTGATCGTTTCCTTCTGTATTACATAAACTGATTACTTTTTGTTTTCTTTTGTTATGCTCTTACATTTTATATACTTATTTTTATAATCAAAGCAATTGTATGTGTACTCAAAACCAATACAAAAGATAGAAACAAAGCCAAAAGGTATGAAGATGAGAGCAACAACGGCAAGAAACAACGACAAAACCGGCAGCAAATGACAAAAGAATCAAAGCTTGAAAGCTATGCCTCCAACCAGATCATAAAACCAATCATCCCTGCTGATGGAGGAGGCGGCGGAGAACAATCGCTTTGTTTCATACACCCTATCTACAACTACATTGGTTAGAGACAATTTTCTCTAAGAGAAGTCTATATTTATAACATTTTCTCACATCCTTGTTCCCTAATCCCTACTGACCCAATGAAACCTAAGAAAAAATATTATAAGAAATACAATAGGATGGAGAACAAAATGTAAAAACTATTTTCGGTAGTTTATTTTATCAGACCCCAAGAAATAATCAAGGGTGGGTGGGCAAAAAACCAAATTAATAATAGGTAAATTTTACATAATATATGAAGTTTTCTTCCACAAAACCGTAATAATAAAAAATAGAACAATAGAACACCCTAAACCTTTCTAAGAAATTTGTATATGCCTATTTCTTGAATAACCACTTCAGAAAGGTTGCAGCATCAAAGCTTTGCCTCTAAATCCCTCCTTTCTTTTTCTTTTTGATAGATGGAAACATAATACAATATTGCTAAAGCTGAACGAGAAGGGTCCATAGAACTTGTGTTTCTATGATATAACCTCCAATCCTGATATGAATATGATTAACCTACATGCAGGTAAACTTAAGAGGAAATGAAAATGCTAAAAACTTTACAACTAGAACCACCATCAAGAAATGAGGATGGTGATATTATGATATTTCATTTAGTTAAAATGTTTTTCCTATCATTTCAATCCCTGCCACGACGATCGCCAAATGCGCTAGATTTACCCGACCCAAAATTTCCAAAACCACTGGAGCGATCAGAACCACCGAATCCGCCAAAACCACCTTGCCGGCTAGAGTTAAATCCACTGGATGATCCACCAGATCTACTACCTGAATCACCTGAACCAAAGGAGCCAAAACGACCAGAGCTTGATCCGCCATATCTATTTTCACTGGATGAATTGCCTGAAAAACCCCCTCCAGATGGTCTTGAACCAGAAAACCTATCACCTGAATTACCGTAGCCCCCAGAACGGCTACCACGACTAAAACCTCCACCACCAAATTGGCTACTCGAACCTCCACCAAATGAACCAAATCGCCCACCACCCATGCTACCAAATGCAGACACTGATCCACTATCAACGGCAATCTTTGGTAACTGTAAAACGTGAATATTGGAAAAACAAGAGTGATCATTATCATAAGTTCATAAGACAGATGAAAAAATAAATTAATCGTTATAAAGTAATTGGCATCGGAAGAGGGAAAGCAACAGTCCACAGTATAAATAAAATAACATTATCAGCTTATCAGCTACATAGATATATAAGAATCACTGTGGTCCTCCCCGGCTTGAAGGATTAATCTATGCAGTTGTACGTAGAGGATACCCGGTTTCTACCGAAAAAAGATATATAAGGACCCTGTTACAGTGTTATCACTTTCTTTTTACAGTTCTATATAGGAAATACATTGTTTTCAGCATTTTCTGAACAGAACTTTAAGAGAAGAGCTAACAACACGACATCTTACACACTCCCTCTTTATTGGTTTAAGTTATAATTTCTGGTTGAAGTTATAATTTCAACCAATAAGAATGAATGTGATAAAAGAGTGAAAACAGGGAGGAACTATTATAACTAAAGAGACGAGCACCAGACAAAACTTAGATTAGGTAACTATAGTTTGTCGGTACTGTGTTTTCACAGGTTCAGATTCCACTGCAAGCAACAGGCAGGCTGGGAAATGAGGCAGGATGATATGGTACACTTTTTATGTAGCCTAATTTATACAACCAGAAAACTAGCAATAAACAAGATACAGCTTCAATTAATAAAGATTCACAGGTGGAAATGAATAGGGTGCAAGGAGAGTGAGTACCTCTTTAAATTTACAGCCTACATCGCGCTCAATAGTCCTAAGAGTCCTGGATTGATCTTCTGAATAGATGAGAATAGCCGTTCCTTTCTTGCCAGCACGACCTGTTCTTCCAGATCGGTGAACAAATATCTCTGAATTATTGGGAAGTTCGTAATGAATTACCTATATGAGGAAAAAAGGCTCAAACTTTACAAATGTATAGAAAATAGAATAATAAGATAATAACAGCTTTATTGCTTTGAAGAACATAGTATTTGCTTATGTGACATTACACAATAAATATCCAGCTGCTTGCCCTGAACTTCCAAATAATTATCCAGTTCACAGAAT